GCCACCACCTCGCCACTCCCCCCAACAACCACCAAAAAAGATTGTTTGTTGCATGGTCACGTCAGCAAAATGAGAAATCTGAGACGGTCAGGACTCATTGAAACGTCTGTGAGTCCATGCCAGAGTCAGGACCTTTAACCTAGAAGGCGCCTTCCACTCGCTGGAGCTCAGCACCCACAGCCGGCAGCGGCGGGAGACTGAGACTCGGGTACAGGGGACATGTCCACAGTCCGCCAGAGACTTAGTGACAGAAGTGGGCTCGAGTCCCTCCTGGTTCTAATTCTAGTAGGCAGAAACTCCCTCTAGGCCACTGCTCTTTCTGTGTGTACTACCTACTACTTGTGAAAGAAGAAACCAATGATCTAAAACAGTGGCTCTCATTGTGGCGGGCAATGAAATAAATAAAGCCACACTCTGCCGACTCTATTTCTTGGAAATCCTAACGGTGCCAAGACTGCTGCCCTGGGATGGAAGTTAGAAGATGGGTGCCCCTTGTAAGGCTCAGGTGTGAGGGAATCTCTTGGGGTGATGAAAACACAGGCGGATCCCAGACGAAGAGCGAATTCTGTTCTTACTGACCTAGTGGCAGCAAGTTTGTTTCATTGGCGTAGCTGTCGTTAACCCTGATTTGTACGTGCATCAGAACAGTTTGGTGTGGTTCATAGTCCCACCTTTAGTCAAATGTTGGTCCTAGTGTGTAGCATATAGTGTACCTGTCTGTCTATAAAACGCATTGAAGAACCACTTCCAGACATAGTGACGTGTCTCTAGCATAATAGCACCTCGTCATCATCGTGTTGATGTGTAGCCGCAGCGGGTACCTTCCCCAGAGTTGTTCTCAGAGGATTCTGCTCTTTAAAATCAGAGACCAATCAGATACTCTGTTGTAGACTCTAAACCGTGTTGTACCACTGAGCTTTAGTCCTACTGGGTTTAGGACCTTCCCCAGCAGAGGTTGGGGGCCTGGGTAAGATGGTGGCGGGGCCAGAGGTGCCCCTTTACCGCCTCACCAGACCCGTCAGCCCCAGGCACCCACTCTGAGACCCCTGCCTTCAGGAGCAAAGGAGAGAGTTGCTCAGGATGGGCGAAGAGTGAGCCTTGACCCACGGGTTGGGAAGGGGAGGCTTAGGAAGCCTAAGTCCAAAGTTCTGCTCAGCCAGCCCCCAAAACCATACGATATCCACCACTAACCCCTCGCCCCTCCCAAGAAAAAAAAGACAACCCAGAAAGGTAAGAAAACCAACTAAATTCACTTCCATGGAGTTGACCGTGACTCACAGTGACCCTATGGGACAGGGTAGAACTGCCCTTTGGGTTTCCGAGGCTCTAAATCTTTACAGGAGCAGAAAACCTCATCTTGCTCCCCAGGAGCAACTCCTGTGTTTGATCCGGTGACCTTGTGGTTAGCAGGCCAACACTTAACCCCAGAGCCTCCAGGGCTCCCTGTTGGGTTTCCAGACACATAAAATTCATCAGGGGACCGTCCTGCCTGGAGCTGCTGAGCCGTGGATGCTTGAGAGGCTGTCATACCACCCCTGCAACAGCAGGCAGGGAAGATGGGCCCCAGTCCCCTTCCCTACTTAGGAACGGGGTGAACTTGGGCCACTTAACCCGACTCAGCACTTCTGTGTGTCCGCTTCAAGTGGTGGCAGCAGCGTGACTCTGACTGCTCCTCAGGGAGCCCTCTGGAGACCGATGACCACGTTCTGGGGCTAGCATTTGGCAGTGGCCTCCTGAAGCAGTCCTTGCCGCTCAGCAAATGTGAGCGATGGCGTCCCTCCTTCTGAGGCCCATGGGTGTGCCAGGACAGGGAGCTTGTCCCCTTCCCCCCAGCGAGATCTGTTCCGTACACACCCGGCTGTAGGAACTGGCTTCTGTATTTGGACTGAAAAATTGATAGCCTACATGCATAACAGCTTAGCCGCTGCCCAGCTACATATGCCCGGAGAGGCATAGTCTGCAGGCATGAGGGGAGGGCGAGGGGCGCAGCCTGAGGAGGCGGGCAAAGGGCTTTTTCATCCAGCGAGAGGTCTTTCCTGGGCCTGTAGGCTAGGAGTGTAAATATACATTGCATTAATCCATCAGTGGAGTGACTGCCCTTCATCAGACCTTGGAGAGAAGGCTTGTGCGACTGCTTGGAATACCACTGAGCTAGCAGGGTTGCCTAGGATACCAGTCACATGGGCCCATCTTCCAGACTGGCCCTCAGTGATTTATTTCCCTTTATTTGGGAGAGAAGTACAGGCGGGGGGCGGGGGCCGTAACGGGACTTGCAGAGCCTTGTCCTCCTCTGGAGGCCCTTTGTGTGGCGGCCCCCTGGCCTGCCCACCCTTTGCCCTGGGCACTTGGGACTAAAATAGCACTTCCTGCCCCAGTTCTCTTCCCCATTTCTGAGCCTGCCTCCTACACAGAGGAGGCTCCTCATACTGTCTTGGGAGGAAGGCGGGCAGCAATGAGTGGGGAGAAGGCGAGTGCCCACAGTGCGGTGTGCAGAAGAGATGGGGCTGGCCCCTCCTGAGCTGTCGGCCCAGAAAAGGCTGTGCCTGTTCTTCTCCAAGCATATGCTTCGTCCCTCCCGGGGCCCCCAGACGATTAGTAGGCTCCTCTCTCCGTCAGAGGTCTCCTGACCTGAAGGGTCACTTTGTCAGGTCGTGCCACTGGCCAAGCTCCCAATGACAGATGGGTTTGTCCGCTGACGAGGAGGAAGCGAGTCGTGATCCTGCAGGGTCAAACTGAGGAGTTCCCTCTGTCCCTCTGCCAGGCCCGTCTCCAGACACTAGTGGAGAAGGACGGCTTTTCCCTTTCTCCGCAGGCACCATCATCGTCGTCGTCGTCCGCGTGCGCGTCTTGGAGAGGCGGGGCTCTTCGGAAACGGCAATGCCGCCACCCTCAGACATCGTCAAAGTGGCCATCGAGTGGCCTGGTGCCAACGCTCAGCTCCTGGAAATCGACCAGGTAAGTTCCTGAAATGAGGAGAGGGGCTCTCCAGATGTACTTAGACCCATGACCAAGGGCTGCCCCCTCCCCCAGTTATTTTTGACAGCGAGGAAGGAAAAAATGTTTTCAAAAAGAAAGCAACAAGTACTGTAAGGGAAACTTTTGCACAATTGGAAAGTTTGAAAGGGTATGGAGAAGACTCATCTGAAACAGCGTGGCTTCTGTAAAGGTGCCTCCTGCAGGATCCCAAATGCTGTCTCGTGTAACTGGGCCCAGGATGCCTGTAGAGGAAGGACGTCCTCAGGACCAGGACCACTGCACGAGGCGGGAGAGCAGCAAGGGGGAGCTGAGCTTTGAGCTGTCACCCCTGGAAGGTCCCCCATCAGGGATTGAGCGAGGCTTCCTCTTCAGCAGGAGCTGTCCTGGGCAGCACCTCACGTCCGAACCTGGGCCTGAGTAGAATGTGGTTGCTGGTCACGGAACTCCCTCTCGCTTTCTTTCTCTCTTTCAGAAACAACCCCTGACAGCCATCATCAAGGAAGTTTGTGATGGGTAGGTTGGAAGGGTCTCTCTGGACAAAGGCAGCTCAAGACTAGAGGGGCTCATAAAGGTCTTTCCCTTTGCTCAGGTCCCCAGTAGGGGGTTTCTGTGTGTTGACCGGGGTCTTCAGAAGTGCAGTTGACAAGCGTGACCTTAAGACCTCCTATAAATATTTATTTGTTCTGCAAGTTCAGGAACGGCCTTGACCTACTTGAGGTCCGGTCGAGCTGAGTCCCACACTTGGTTGTCCACTCGTCCTTTGGTGGTGGTAATCTGTGCCACGGGCGGGCTGGCTATTGTTTCAGCATCACTGCCTAACCTCCCATACTCTCCCTTTGAGTCCTCCTTTGAGCAGCTCTGCTGATAAGTACTTACCGGCAGCTCTTGAGGAGGCCAGGGAGAATGGCCGAACGGGGGTCCGTGTTTCCTTGTGCCCAGGTGGTCATTGCCAAACCCGGAGTACTACACCCTCCGCTATGCAGACGGTCCCCAGCTCTACATCACTGAGCAGGTCAGTACAGAGAGGTGCAAGAGCCTTCAGAGCGCTGCTTTGGGGGAGCCTTGCAGGAGACAGACTGTTGTTCTCCAGCAGCTAAGAGCTGCCCCTGGGCCAGATGGGGGCTTTCCCTTGTTCCCTGGTAGCTGGGAGAATTGGCTCCCACCCCCACCCTCCACCCCAAGAGCCTGGGAGCCTCTTTGCCAACCAACAAGGAGGAGAGGAGGCCTAACACGATCCTCAGTGACGGCTGCCGTAACGCGGACAAACAGTTCCTGCTGACTCAAGCTGCCTGCGCAGCTTTCTGATTCCATATGCTTTCTTTCCTCCCTGCTGCTCAGACCCGCAGTGACATTAAGAATGGGACCATCCTGCAGCTGGCCGTGTCTCCGGTAGGTACTCTGCCTCCTCAGAAGCACACTCACTTAGCAAGCAGTGGAAACCACGCTGGGGGCCCGATGGTGGGATGGTGGTGGTATGCCTCAGCGTGGGCAATGGCGCATCATCACGCTGCAGGACAGAGTCACGCTGACCCCCGCAGGGGTGCCTGAGTCTTGCGTGGTTTTAATGAGCAGACAGCCAGGTCTCTTCTCCCGAGGAGCAGCTGGTGGATCCGAACTGCCAACCTTATGTTTAGCCGACAAGCATTTCACCATTGTGCCGCCAGGGTGCTTGGAAACGAGGGCTCTAAGATGAAGGTCCGTCTGTCCTCACAGCAGAGTGGGGAGTTAGCAAATACAATACGGGCTCTTCGAACGATCGGGAGAGAAAGTTGCTCAGGTGCTCGGGGAACATGGAAAGGGGCCTGGCTGACTCCTTCCCAGAGAAGGGCATGCTTAGCCCAGATGGTGAAGGAGAAGCAAGGGTTCACTGGAGAAGGAAGAAAACAAGCAGTCTGCCAGGCAGAGCGACCGACCAGCGTGGCCCTGTGCTGTGTCTGGGTAAGGCGGCAGGGCTGGGTGGCCATTGAGAGGCTAGGGAGTGAAGGCCCTGGGGGCCTGCTCACAAGTCTGAAGGCAGTGTGGGGCACTGGAGGATTTTTAAGCTGGCGACGTGCCATGTGTAGATCGATGTTTTAGAACGTTTGCTTCCGTGACAGCGTGGCAGAGGCGTCTGGTAGGAAGGCCATTGAGAGGCTAACGGGGGTTGTCAACAACCCGGATCAGGCACAGACGGAAGGCTGGACATGACATCTTTAGGAGGCAAACTGATGGACACGGTGGACGGCAAGAGGAGAGTTAGTTTAGCCCCCTTGAGCTTCAGCAAGAACAGCTCGTAAGGATGGCGAAGGACGTAACCAGAGGGGGAGAAGAAGCCAGCCGAAGTGGCGACAGGAGGCAACCTGTGCAGAGCTGCCCGGCCGGAGGGAGGCGTGGGCTGCAGTGTCCAGTGAGCGGGGAGAGGGGAAAGTGAGGGCAGAAACGCTGAGGCCCAGGGATCACTGGTGCCCAATGGGAATGCTGCTTAGCTGAGGCCGAGGGGTGGGAGCTGCTGGCACTGGGTGGCGTGAAAGGGGGAGAGCGAGGCCTGAAGCATGTCGTGCTCAAGGAGGTTAGTGATGAAATGAAGCCGAGAGGGTGGTGCATTTGAGAAGATGTCTTAAAAAAGGGGATATTTTACTGTTTCACAAATCAAGACAGTAGAAAAAGTTCAGTGAAAAGTCTCCCTTCCACCACGGGTCCCCCACCACCTAGCTCCCCATCTCCTTCCACCCTTCCCAGTTGGCAACTGCGGCTGCAGTTTGTATGTGACATGGAAGGTGTGTGTAATAGGGGAGAGCCTTGAGCCTGTTGAAAGAGCCAGTAAAGAGGGGGCGCTGGAAGGTGGCTGGTTAATGAGACAGCCGTGTTGGGTCAGGATCCAGGTGAGGGGTTCTCCCTTGACGGCCCAGCTCTGAGGGAGAAGGTGGGCTGGGGAGCAGCTGGCTTCCGTTTGTAGGAGGACTGGCAGGACAGAAAGAAGGATGTGGTGGCCCCTGCCATCAGAGGGGACTGGCACTGAGGAGGTGGGAGAATGTAGTCACCATTGGGATGTCTTGGAGAAGGCGGTGGAGAGCTGTGTGTCTGCTGGCAGGAGCTGGCACGGGATTTCCAGCAGCTCCCGCTCAGAAAGGCCTGAGCCAGGCTGCCCGAAGTGGTCCCAGGCCAGACCGGGCAGGGCCCTGGTGGCTCATACTGAAGTGTTTTGCTGCAAACACAAAGGTTGGAGATGGTAGCCCATCCAGAGGTGCTGCAGGAGAAGGGCCTGGCGATGGGGTCCCATAAGGAGTACAGCCCTGAGGGGCAGTTCACTGTGTGTCAGAATGACTGGTCACCCAGAAGCAGGCCAGGGTGTGGCCCTAAGGGCTTCTTTCTTCACTAGCAGCCAGCCTTTGCCTGCGCCTCCGTAAGTACATCATGGCTTTCGGTCCTTGCAAGCGCCTGGCGAGATGGATACTGTTGCTAGCCCCAGTTTTCAGACAAGGAAACAGGCTCAGGGAGATTAAATAGCTTGCCACTTGTACAACCCAAAAGTCACAGCCCTGGCTCTCAGCCCATGTCTGCCCGACTCAGCGCCAGTTTCCCACCTCCCTCCTCTCCCCCCGTCCTTCCCTCCTGAGCTCTGCTAATTTAGCATGACGGCCTGGGAGGTGCATTTATGGAAGCGCCGGAGCATTTGACAGGCCTCTTGCAAGGAACGGCTGGCTTTCCCAGACGCCCCTCTCTCCCAAGCAGGAGGCAGCGGCCCAGAAGTGCTGTCTCCGGAGGGAAATTGACATTTAGGGCTGGAAGTGCGTAGTGAGATGCAGACCAGTGCACTCCCACTTGTTCGGTCCGTAACAGCAGGAGGGGAGAAAAGTCGGCAGGGACGAGCTGGCTGGGCCTGTACTCCTTGGCTCTGGTCAGAGTCCGGGAGAACATGAAGTCCAGAGTGTCGTGCTCACTGCCCAGTTAACACCTGGCCCTCGAGGTGACTCCCTGTGTCAGAGTGGAACTGCTCTCGGGGCTTTTGTTTCTGTAACCTTTGCAGAAGCAGACGGCCTGGTGTAGCTTCTGCCGTGCTTCCGAGTGGGTTAGAGCCAACCTTTAGACGGTAGTCAAGCACCTTTTTGCTTTCCTCCTCACTCCTCCATTCTCTCTGAGAACCGTAAATGAACAGAAAAAGTAGAGACCAATGGAATGAAAGATTGCGTGACACTGACTAAAAATTCGGTACGTTTAGCAGGGGGGCCTTGGTTGTGGCTTGTCAAAGGAGGCAAATGTCCTCGCCAAGAAATATCCCCAGGAGTTCGGTGGAGGCTCGCTGTTTTAAAATGAACTGCTCCAGATGCCTGGGCATTCTTGAAGTGTTCCCAGGGCTCTCGGTTGGAAGAAGCTTGATCGGAACTTAGAACGCTTCAGAACAACACAAAATGGTGCGGCCTCTCACCGTTCAGGGTTGGAAAGGACCTAAGGGTTATCTTCAGTTCGCCGTCCAATGCAGGACTCTTCCAGCACATCTGCCGCAGGTGGCTGTCCAGATTCCACTGGGTTGCCTCCAGTAATGGGGGGCTCAGTCCTTCAAGAGATGATTTGTTCTACCCGCATCCCTCCGTATTGAACCAGTGTGGTTGGCCCTCTGTGTCTGAGGTCTCTCCTTCACACATTCAACTCGCCATGCCTTGAAAATGTCCGGGGAGATGGAGCAATTACGTGGTACCCCAAATTGTAAAGCAGTATCCCAAAAGCTAAACGGGAGTGTCGAGTGCTATTATGTATTAGGTGTGATTAGTCATTAGAGGAGAATTATCCTGCATGGTGGGTGCAGGTTTATGCTAATACTCTGCCATTTTCCTGGATGAGCATCTGGCGATTTTAGTATCGGGGGTCCTGGAACCAATCCCTTGCCGATACGGAGGAATGAGCGTGCCTGTGTCTCTGTGACTCAGTAGTTAGCGGACTGTCCCCTAGGTCACTCTCAGATTCCCGCGGTGGGAACCACAAGCCAGAGCAGACAGAAAGGAGCCTGCTAACTACGGATGGGGCTTGGCACTCTGGTAATCCATTCCTTGATGGATTCCATGGCAATTCATGTACCAACTCTTAAGCAGTGTGAAAGGAGCCCTGGTTACACATTGGCCTGCTAACTGTAAGGTCAGTGGTTCGAAACCACCAGCTGGGAGAAGACAGGACTTTGTACTCCCATAAAGAGTCGTGGAAACACTGAGGCAGTCCCACCCTGTCCTATAGGGTTGCTATAAGTTGGCATCAACTTCATGGCAGTGAGTTGGGTTTTTGGAAACTGAACAGAGCCCTGGCAATGATGCTGCCAGGTAAGCACTGGGCTGCTAACCGCAGGGTCAGAGGTTCAAATCCACCCGCTGCTCTGTGAGAGAATGAGGAGGCAGGCTGCTCCTGTAAAGATTTACAGCCCCAGAAACCCTCAGAGCAGCTTTGCTCCGTCCTCCAGGCCGCCGTGGGTCCAAACGACTCGCGGGCAGCGGGCTGGGCCTTGGGTAAGCAGCATGAAACCCGCGAGTTCTGCCCTGGCACCAGTGTCCACAGAAGGGCCCCTGCGGGCTAGCCCGAGTGGTGACCTGCCACAGGGCGCTGATGGCATGTGTGCCCTGTCGCTGCTCTCGCAGTCCCGGGCCGCGCGCCAGCTGATGGAGAGGACGCAGTCGTCCAGCATGGAGACGCGGCTGGACGCCCTGAAGGAGCTGGCCAAGCTCTCTGCCGACGCAACCTTTGCCACCGAGTTCATCAACATGGACGGCCTCGCCGTGCTCACGCGCCTCGTGGAGAGTGGGACCAAGCTCCTGTCCCAGTAAGTCTCAGAGACGGCCATGGGGCACAGGGCACCCTGCCCCAGTCTCCTTCCCCACTGACCTAAGAAGCAAGTGCGTGTGAGTGCCTGCTGTTTCCTGAACCCTGCGCCCAGCACGAGGGGGCACGCTGCTGCCGCTGAGCTGATTCCCATCACAATGACCCTAGAAGACCGAGCAGGACTGCCCATGGTGTTCCCAAAGCTGGACTCTTCCCCGGCTCACGTTTCAGTTCCCAGCCACGTGCCTGCAATCTTGTTGAGAAGGCGGTTCAGACCCTCAATGAAGGAATGGAGCCCAAGAGAAAACGGGAGCTGTCCATGGCAGGGAACGGCAAGGCCCACGGCAGGCCCCCTTCTCTACCAGTACAGGCGCCTGGCTGCCTCACCCACTCCTTCCCGGCCGTGGTGCCTGTGCACACATGAGCACTCCGGCCCCATCTCCTTGCCACGAGTTTTCCCTGGGGCTGTAGAACTCTGCTGGCCACCGGCCCATTCTCGCCAGGTGGTAGGCAGGCTGAGGTGTCCTGGGTCCCCTGTAAGCATGCGGAGCCCAAGCTGGCCAAGGACTCAGAAGTCCTCTGTCGGCCACTGCCCCGGTCATCGAGTATTCCAGCCAAGCCGAGACAGGAATCCTGGTGTGTGTCATAAGCGTCAGATCCCAGACCACTCTGGGGCCCTGCCGCCTTGGGCTGGCCTCAGTTTCCTCTTCTCTGAAGAGGAGCTCGCTCCCCGCCTCGCAGAGTCGCTGATGGGGAGCAGGTGCCTGTCTGGCCATGCCCTGTAAATGGGATGGTGGACTGTTAATACAGCACTGGGCAGATGGCAACGGGAGGGGGAGTGATCCTTGCTGCCAGCACTGGGGTGCCATCTCTGCACACGCTGTCATCTGCCCCCACCACAGCCATGGGACAGGCACTCTGGGAGATTAGCCAGTTTTGCACCACAAGAAGTGGACGTTCAGAGACTTGAAATCGGCCCGGTTGTCAAATGGCTCAATAGGAGTGGAGCCCAGGCCCAGACCTTGCCCTCTCTCCCCTGTGCCGTGGGCTGCAGGTTTACGTGCCAGAGGTGCCCCTGACAGATGCTGGAGGTCACCCCGGGAAGGGAGGTGAGGCAGTGTGCAGGGGGAATGCCGCCTTTTCCTCTGGGAGACTCACTCCCCAGGGTTCAGGGTGCACGCAGGCCTGTGTAACTCTCAGCCCCTTCTGCCGGCTTAGTGTGGCAAGCTGCCTGTGCTGTGACTCCCATGGCCTGACTGTACTGTTGTGTGTGTGTGTGTACATGTGTACGTGTCTCAGTTACAGTGAGATGCTGGCATTCACCCTGACCGCCTTCTTAGAGCTCATGGACCACGGCATCGTCTCCTGGGACATGGTGTCGATCACCTTTATCAAGCAGGTGAGGCCCTCGACATCCGCGCACTCTCCTCCTTTGGCTGCTGGTTCTCTGGGCACGAGGGGAGGTCCGGGCAGCATAGTCATTACAGTGAGGGTCCCCGGGGCCAGAGGCGGCCGCCTCCACCTTCCAGGGGCTCCCGAGAGAGGGTCCCATGCTCTGGGTGGCAGTCAAACTTGCCCCCTCCCCCTCCCCCACCCTTAAGTCTTCCGAGCTCTCCTTTCTCTTGAGGAAAAGAATATGCGTTTTACTCGCCTCCCATTTGCCAACCTGAAAGGTGGTCTGACGGAGCTGTCAGACTGAACCCAGCAGGCAGGTGTGGGGCTAAGGGTGCTTCTAATTCGGTCCTCTTTTCTTCGACAACAAAGAGTGGCGTCAGTTCAGAGAACTGAACTGAAACCCTGAAACCGGTGAATCACATGCCCCCTGGCCTAGGGTGAGCTGGGGGGAGGGGGTGTTTTCCCAGGACCAGTTTTCTGCACTCAGCTTGCCCACACCTGAACCTTTCTTTTGAAAGCAGGAGCAGGGATGGGGATGTGTGAGTGATTGGGAAAGGGGGCATCATGCCTCAGGGTCCCCAGCAAGCAGGGACCAGCTGCACAGATTGGGCAGGAGGTGGTTAAGAGGGAGTCCTGGTGGTATCTTGGTTACAGTTGGGCTGCTAACTTCAAGGTCCGAAGTTCAAAACCGCTCGGTGGGAGAAAGACGGGGCTCTCTTGGAGTTACAGTCTCGGAAACCCGGGGGCTGTTCTACCCTGTCCTATGGTCCTGAGTCGGCATCGACTCTGGCAGTGAGTTTGTCTTTTCGGTTTTCTCCAACAAGTGCCGCGTCAATACCGCGCACTGATCTAAAGGCCGTGAGCCCTAGCTCTGCTGCCCGGGTGGAGGCGTCTCCCCGAGGCCTGGTGTCCGCCTCCCCAGCCGTCCCACTCCTGGGCCCCGAGCTCCCAGTGACTGTCCGCTCTGGTTCAGATTGCAGGCTACGTGAGCCAGCCCATGGTGGACGTGTCCATCCTTCAGAGGTCCCTGGCCATCCTGGAGAGCATGGTCTTGAACAGCCAGAGTCTGTACCAGAAGATAGCAGAGGAGATCACCGTGGGACAGCTCATCTCCCACCTTCAGGTGTGAGTAAGGACCCTGCCCACCCCCACTCTCACACACTGCCTTTTCCCCTGCTTCGGTTCTCCTCCCAGCAGCTGGGCAGCTTGTTCATCCAGCCGCGGGCCCCCTCCGAGCCCCAGCCACGATCCTTCCTGAATCCCACCCTGCGTCAGCACCGCCCCAGCTCTCCTTTGCTTGGGGGGATGAGCGGTGCTGTTCCCGCGTCTCCTGTCGGGCCAGGAACTGCGCTCAGCCTTTGTGAGAGTCCTTGTATGAAATGCCATGTTTGCAGGGACGCTTTCGCATGATGCGCCGTGAGCTCCTTGAGGATGGGGACCATTCATTTTGCGGCCCCAGCTCAGAATTCAGTAGCAGCTCAGTCAGAGTTTGTTGAATGACTGCTTACTGTTTAGTTCACCGTGGTGGAGGTTAGCAAGAGGTACCCTATCGACCCGCGTCCAGGATGAGACTAGTTGAAACCCAGGTTTCACTGCTGCCCGGCATTGAGCTGTGCCCTCCTCAAAATAGATGTCAATTTGCCGAGATTCTCAGCAGTGTGGAAGTTACAGTGTGATGCTGCAGTCACCCCCAGGTTGTGGTCTGATCACATCCGTTGTAAGGGGTTTAGGGTGGAGTGTGACACCCTTACTCGCATTGCAGCCCTGATCTGATCTAGGGCAAGTTTCCCTGGGGGGTGGCCTGCATCACTTTTTAATCTTAAAAGAAACAGGAGGAGAGAGAAAAGAGCCAGGAGGGAGGGTCTGACTACCACCCAGAAAGAGCCAGGGGTGGAACTTGCTCTGTGAACCCAGGGTCCCTCCACTGAGAACCTCCTAGACCCAGGGGAAGATTGATGCCAAGACACAAGAGCTCTTCAAGGAACGCTGGCCTCCCGGACATTGAGAGGAAGCGACGACTTTCCCCGAGGCCTGGACTCTGAATTTTAAATCCTAGCCTCCTAACCTGAGAGAGAATGAATTTCTGTTTGTTAAGGCCACTCACTCGGGGTCTTTCTGTGAGAGCAGCACTCGGTGGCTCGGGCGCCACCTTCCGGCCTCGGTGTCCCCTTCTGTAGGCTGGGGGACCATCCCGCCTCTCAGACTCAATGACCATCCAGGGAGGTCAGGCACGGGGTAGGCATAGATCCTGGCCTTTCACAACATGAGAGACGTTGTGTGTGCTACCGAGCGGATTCCAACCCAGAAGGGTGACCCTCTGGACCTGCCCCGGAGATATCCAGCAGACAAGCGCCTCCCACACTGCTCCTCTCTCCGATCTTACAGCCCATGGACACAACTGCACCCGACAGAGACGCGTCTCTGAACATGGATGGCCTCACTGTGATGCCTTCCCCACTGGCCGAGTGTCCAGGAAACTCTAGCTCCCAGGTTTGAGGCTGTGGTGGCCCTGTCCCCACTCGGCTGGGCTCCCCACCCACTCATCCCCATCGTCCCAGTGAAAAGCCGGGCCTGCCCTGTCTGCTCTCTGCAGCTCTCACTTCTGCCTGTCGCTGTGTACGAGCTCTTCAGCCGTAGCTTCCACACCCGAAGAACCGAAAGGCAGGCCAGGGGGAGGGCATTTTACACAACAGACAGAGAGTTCTCGTCTCCTGCGGCCCGTGACCTCCACCCTGTCCCTAATCCCAGCTGTCTCTCTAAGGTGGACAGAGGACCTCGGGCATTTCTTAGGAAGTGGTCAGTGAATACGTTTGGCACACAGCTGTTAGGGAAATTATGTTCTCTGCCATTCAGGCTGAGGAACACACTGTGCCAGTCATTAGACACCATGCCCCCTCCCTGGCTGGGACACCCACCACCCCCTTCACCAAGAGCCCCCGTCAAGAACAAGCTCACTGCCTGGCAGGTGAACACACCTTGTCGAGTGTAAGGGCTAGTGTAGGCATCTGCCCCAAGCTTACAGGGGCCCAGGGACTGGATGCTGTTCATTGCTTTACAATCAAGTAAGACAAGTTAGTAGTCAGAGTCAAACCAGAAGAGGCACCCAGGGTCGGCGAGCTTCCCATTATCTCTTCAGTGTGGCATTTAAGGTCCCTCCTGGCTTGGTTTCTAGGTGTATTTTCAACCAAATCAGTATCTGACCGGACACGTTATGTATACCTGGTTTGTTTGTTTTATGAACTATATCCTGAACATTTCCTCACGTCAAAGACTCTCCTAAAAGGAAGTCCAAATTAAAATCTCAGTGATGGTGTGGCCCTCGGTGGAAAGCTTCACGGCAGCCCTTTAGGGGTTCGCTGCTTTGCGAAGCGCGTCTCTGCGTCCCAGCTTAGGAGCATGCACCCTCGAAGGTGGTTTTGAACAGCTGCTTAGGAGTCAGAGAGCTAGGAGGGGCTTCCGAAAGCTCGTGGGGAAATCCCATTCTCTTCTGTTTCTGCACAGACTTGAAGCCCCTCGTCTGTCTAACAGAGGGAACCATCGGTTACTTCCATTGGGTCTTTGTTTTTAGGGAAGCCCCTTCTCCATAAGTCTCATACACCTCTCTGAAGACTGGGGAGGACAAGTCCCCGTTCGGGGAACTGCTGCGTCAGGTGTGGCAGCTTCGAAGGATTTTGAGAGGACCGCCTGGTCATCCTCCAGGCGTGGTTTGGCTGCCCCACTAAGCCTGTGCGTGTGGCGGTTCGTTCTTCTAACCTCCCTCGGCCTTCTCTCTCCGTCGACACAGCTCCAACCAGGAGATTCAGACCTACGCCATCGCACTGATCAACGCCCTTTTTCTGAAGGCTCCTGAGGACAAGCGACAGGTCAGTGGCTGCCTTTCTGAGCTTTTCCATCGGGCTCTTGGAAAAGGAATGCTCATCTCACACACACCCTGCCTCATTTGCTGGGCAGAGAGCGGAAATCCAGCCATTTCCCTGAGAATCCGCCCTCCCTCCTATCCGTCTGTGGTGGGAGCCCCGGGGTGGGTGGCAGGGAGGGGAATCTTCTGGGTCCTAGGTTAGAACGGGGCCGAGAACCCACTGCTACTGAGGCCATTCCGACTCATAGCCACCTGGCGGGAGAGAGCTGCCCAGTGGGCTTCCAAGACCGGATCCTTTGTGGAAGCAGACGGCCACAGCTCTGTCCCCAGGAGCAGCCGGTAGGGTCAAGTCACTGGCCGTTTTGTGTCAGCAGCTGAGCGCTTTAACCACTGCACCACCTTGACCTTGACTCCTGAAAGGGCCTGGTGGTCAATCGTTTCCACCGTGTGGGTCCTGAAGTGTGTGAGCAGAACGCTTGCCAGTGCGGCTGAGCGCTGCTTTAGACGGGTCCCGCTGCCCTGAAGCAAACCTGCTTTACAAACGGGCCTAACTGGACCATCGTTTGCCAGTATCCCGGGCTAGCAGGTCCAGAAGGGCAAGGGGAACGCCTGGAACCCGAGGGATCTAAGCAAATGAGGTTCTTACTCCCAGAGGGAAAGTGGAAGGGTTACGCTGCCTCTGAACCTCAGTTTCCCCACCTGCCCTGAGGACAAGCCAGACCCCTGTTGGCAAACGAGAAACCTCAGCACCTGTTGGACAGTGGGATAAAGCCCACCGGCCGGGCCAGCACTGCTCAATGCTCCGAGTCTCAGCTTCTCTTTCACGAGAGACCCTGGAGGGGCCTTCCAATACCAGCTTTCTGTCTCTCTCTGTGGTAGCAGCCCGCACAGTAACAAAAGTGAGGTGCTTAATTCCCCTCGGTGTCATGGGCTCTGACGAAAAGGCATCATGAGGGAGGCCTGGTGGTGCAGCAGTTAAAACACAGGCTGGGCAAACCCAGCAACCACTGGATGGGAAAGACACGTGGCCGCCTGCTTCCCGAACGTCACAGCCTTGGAGGCCCAGGGGCAGTTCTACCCTGTCTGGCGGGCTGCTGTGTGATGGAATCGCCTCGCCTGGTTTGTTCATTGTTGTGTCAGCCGTGGTGGCCCTGTCTGCTGAAACCCGTGTGGGTCATGCACCGAGTCCTGCCTGGGTGACTCTAGTGGGAGGGCCTGGGGCCTCCGTGGTTCTGCCTGTCCTTGTCTCTCCTGGGTAGCTCTGCTCTGTGAGCCTCCCTCCCCGTCCTTGTTGAATGCACGCTGAACACGCTTCCTGCCGCCTGCTTCTCTCTGTGCTTTCACTTCCTGCTGGCAGGACAAGCACCTTCACCCTCTAGACCTGCCTGCCACTGTAAGTAGCCTCGCCGGGCCTCGTGCTCTCGTGCTCTGATGGAGATGTTCGGGTGGTGTGGTCAGGGCGCTCGGGGAAGCCGGGGGCCCCCTAGGGTGAAGGGGATCCTTCTCCCAGGGGATGGGCCCAGTCTTCCATTAGCCTCTGGCTTTGTCGGGGCTCTGTGGCTCAGCCAGGAGAGGTCAGATCCCAAGCTAGCCAGTGACTTTGATCCCAAAGGCCCCCCCCCAGGTGTCTCACCTTCCCACCAACTTGCTGGAGTGAAAAGCAAGAGGAACCCCAGCCCTTTCTGGCCTCCTGCTAGACCGTGGGAGTGCGAAGAGGTTTAGACAGTTGACAAAAGACTGGAAGCTCACTTCTCAGTTCGGTTTAGAGCAGTCAGCTCTGTGAGGATCTGAAAGAAGATGAGCCATTTCCCCCTGGTGCCTCAGAGAAGCCTCTGCTCTGAGGCCATCCGTCACCAGAGCTGTAGACCACTGTCAATTATCCACTTTGTGACTTGTCCACAGCAAGATTTAATCTCAGGCTGGCCTCCTACACTCAACCACAGAGGCGCTAGACCTCCTTCCAGCCGGTGCGTCAAACTGAACGGACTGTGGCCGGGTCTGTAGACGTCAAGGGGAAAGGGCTCTCAGGCCAGTGCTCACGGATCCTGCTCGCCGGGGGAAGGCGACAGCACCCTCAGACCCCTGATTTAGAACTCTTTCCTCAGTGGAGTTAGGCCGCCGTGTAGAAAGTGAAGTCATGCCACTTAACATTAGTAAGAAATGACGGCTGGTATTGGAAGAGGAGACCGAAGAGTTATGAAGAGCTATTAGAGAAATTAAAAGCGTAGTAATTTGAGACCATTTTGTTTAGAGGGAAATAGCTTCCCATTTCAATAGCTCCCCCGGGTATGATAGTGTCACAACACAGAATAGTCACTAATGTGCTTTTTGATGAAGCCCAGGCCTTGGCAGTGATTAAATTGTAATCATGGCAGTCTCTGCAGACATAAAGAGATGCGTAGAACGTATTCTTAAAATATTTGCATAAGAATGGCTGGGATAATGCCTAGTTCTGAGAAGACCCTTAGAGCTTCCCTCCCTGGCAGGACTCACTCGGGCAGGCAGGAGGAGGCACTTTCTTTCGAGAGTGTGCCCAGCCCGCAACACAAAACCCTCTGATGCTGAGCCAAGCAGCTCTGTCTGGAGACAGTTCCCCGAGAGCGCCCAGCCCCTGTTCTGTGGCCCCATCAGAAGTGAACCATGGGCTTCCTGTTTCAGAGACCCCTGCCCAGCTCGGGTGGCATGGCAGTGGTCCAGGTGGGCGGCAGGGACCAAAAGCCGCTCCCTGGTGTGGGGCCTCAGCACTGGGCAGCCGTCTGACCGCTACCTGTGGCTAGGCCCTCGTGCAGCTCCCTGGTCCCAGTGCAGCCCCCAGCCCCAGCCCCCCTTGAGGCCCGGCCGTCCAGTAGTAGCCCACTTCAACGGGGGAAACAGTGAGAAGATGAAAAGGCCCTCTTGGTGACCACAGCGTCCTCTGCAGACTCAGGTGAGCCTGCCGCCTGTCTCACACCGGCTTTCTCTCTGCCTCCTTCTAGGATATGGCCAACGCGTTTGCCCAGAAGCACCTGCGCTCCATCATCCTGAATGTAAGTTTCCGGAACGCACCGTATTGGGGCGCTGTTGTTGTGTTGCTGCTACTGATGATTGGCTGTTGTTGTTGCTGTGAGGTGCCGTCAGGTCCGTGCTGACTCAGACTGACCATTTGTACCACCCGCCCCGCCCCGTTCTCACCACCGTGGTTAGGTGTGAGCCCTGCATGGTAGCCTTCTTGTCAAGGGCCATGCACTTGTTCTGCTGCCCGTCCACTCTACCACACACGATGTCCTTCTCCAGGGACCGGTCTCTCCCGACAACATGGCCAAAGTACGTAGACCAAGTCCCGCCATCCTCGCTTCTAAGGAGCTTCCTGGCTGTATCTTTCAAGACGGAATTGTTTGTTCTTTTGGCAGCCAGTCCATGGCACTTTGTCCGTGCTTGTCACCGACAGCATCACTCACATGCACCCGTTCTCCTTCAGTCTTCCTGACTCACTGTCCGACTTCTCGTGCCTGTGAGCCCAGTGAGAATTGCTGGTACTTGCAGTGCCTGCCCCATGATGATGGGTCTAACCGTGATGGAGGACACACGGAAGGGATTTGCCAGTCGGTGCTGAACGAAGCTGAAGGGTGTGTTTCCCAAGCCCCCTAAAGCAGCGATGTGCCTCGGAGGCTGTCCCAGGCACACTGGGGAGGTGGGAAGGCCAGCTATCCTAGTTGTTGCTCCACAGCTGCCCAGGTTTTTGTCCAGAGGGAACGTGTTTAAGAAGGCAGAGCAGAGGAGAGTAATTCACTCTGCTAGCACTGACCCTACACGGGAACTGTCTGGGGCACCAATAGCTGTGACGCCAAGGGCGTCTTGCCTCTCAGAGCTGCTGGCCCGGGAGGAAAGGTCAGCACTCTGGGGAGAGCAGGAGGAGCAGTCAGGCCAGCGTGGTGTCTGCGGCCCTTAGAGCAGCAGTTCTCAGCCTGTGGGTCACGACCCCTCTGGGGGTCGAATGACCCTTTCACAGGGGTCACCCGATTCATCGCAGTAGCAAAATGACAGTGATGAAGTAGCAACAAAAATAATGTTATGGTTGGGGGTCACCACCACAGGAGGAACTGTAGGAAAAGATCTCGGCATGAGGAAGGTTGAGAACCACTGCCTTAGAGGGGTGCCAGTGGTGAGCCCCCAGGTGGTCTAGGCAGCTCAGGAAGAAAAGGAATCCGGCTGGCCGGCCTGACCCTGCAGAGCTGCCTCCCCACGTTGGCCAGAGGGTCCCGGGAGCAAATGTCAGTCTGTGCTGGGCATGCTCAGGGACCCAGACCTTCCTGTCTCCACCCTAGCCAACACCATCTCCACACGTGGGGGGCTGCCCCACAGAGGGGCTTTTCATGTACCTTCACGAGGTTGGAGCTGAGTTTGGACAAACCTTGGGAACAAGCAAAGATGCCACTGAACAGCAGGACCAACGTATACCCAGAAATGGTTAGTGTGCTCCCTGAAGTCTAAGGATCTGAGACCTGCCAGAGCCCAGGCCTTGATCTTCCCGTGAGACTTCAGATCAAGCCTGGGAAACCTGAGCGTGCCAGCCTGGAGCTGTACCTCTCCGAGCCATTGTCTGCCATTGTCGTTCAATCTCTCCTGGCCACCGTGCCAGCAAATTTGAGAACAGATTACAGTGAATGCACATCCCTCTCCTCCCTCCTGAGTTCTTCTGGGGATTATTGAGAGCGGGGAGGAGGGAGGAGCTGACGTGGACAGGCAGGAGTGACAGAAAGAAGGGGACAGAGGAGATAGCTCTGAGGGTGGCCTGGAGGAGGAGAAGCCGGGGACCAGAGAACGAGAGAGCGACATCAGTGGGACGGTCCTCGGCCAGAGGGAGTAACCTTGAACCTGGGAGGTGCTATGCTGAGTGGGAGCAGTGCGTTACCCAAGGACAAATACCTGAGGGTCTCACAAGTTCATGGAAAAGGTGGAGTGAACATCCTTTTCTCCTCGCATTGTTTGAAGTCGCCTCATTGCTGGAACACTGGGAGTACATGGAGTGGGTTCCGTGTACAACGGAAGGCAGCGCTGCTGGTCCCGCGCCATCCTCACCACTGTTGTCTGAGCCCAGTGTTGCAGCCACGGTGTCTCCACCTGCCCAGGGCCTCCTTTTCTTTCCTCCTGTTGTCGTAACACAGCTTATTGAGCACCACACAGTCGAGTGCCTTGGCATGGTCAATGACACTCCAGCAAACATCTTCCTGGTATCCTCTGCTTTGAGCCAAGATCCCTCTGACGTCAGCACATCCTCTCGTTCCACATCCTCTTCTGAGTCCAGCCTGGACTTCTGGTGTTTCCCTGTCAACGGACTGTTGCAACCTTTGTTGGATGATCTTTAGCGAAGTTTTACGTGTGTGTGATGTCAATGATGTCATGATATTGCTCCATAGTTTGAGCATTCTGTGGGGCCACCTTTCTTTGGAAGGACACAAATGTGAAGCTCTTCCAGTTGGTCGACCAGGTAGCTTTCTGCCTAATTTCTTCGCAGAGACGAGTAAATGCCTCCAGGGCTGCTTGAGGGGCCCTCCTTCTTCACCACCCTCCACTTTACCATGATGTCTTTCTCCAGGGACGGTCTCACAACATGCCCACCATGTAGAAGATGAAGTTTCGCCTTTCTTGCCTCTAAGGAGCATTGTGGCTGTACTCCTTCCAAGAGAGTCGATTGTTCTGTTGGCAGTCCCTTACC